TGTATATTGTCTGTGTATTTTGTTCTTATTCATGATGTTGCCATGAAATGGTTTATGAAAGTGGAATCTTTGTGTTTCTCTGAGGAATGTCGGCATGAGATAGATAGATAGATAGATAGATAGACAGATACAGATAGATAGATTAAGAGAGATAAATAGAGAGATAAATAGATAGATATATAGAGATATAGAGAGATAAATAGATAGATATATAGAGAGACAGATAGATAGAGAGAGAAAGAGGGAGAGATAGACAGATAGATAGAAATAGAGAAATGGATGGACATAGATAGATAGATGGATAGAGGCAGGGATTGGGAGTGAGAGAGAAAAAAGAAAAAAGGTAATAGACAACAGCTAGAAAGACAGAGACAAACTTTTAACGAAGAAGAATGGAAGGAGATTCCATTTGCATACATCCCTATACCAAATGCCACGAAGGTTCGTCCAAAGGTTAATGTATGTGTACGTACATGCGTGTGTGCATTTGTGTGTGTATGCATGTGTATGTATGTCTGGTACGTGTGTTTCCCTCTTTTTGTATAGTTTTTTTTTCGTGTGTTCAACTATGCGTTTGAGTGTATTTTCTTTTTATTTTTATTATTATTATTTGTGCGTCTTATTATTATTATTATTATTCTTTTTACTGTATTGGTTTATGTGCGTGCGTGTATGCCTATATGCGTGTATCCGTGTGCGTGCGTGTATACCTATATGCGTGTATCTGTGTGCGTGTGTGTGTGGAGGGAGGGGGGAGTTAACCATTCCGTCACGGCAGTCACGCACACGGACAGGCCACGGACAGCCACGGACGGCCACGGACGGCCACGGACGGCAACGGCCACACGGACGGCCACGGACGGCCACGGACGGCCACGGACGGCCACGGACAGACAGTAGAATTTCTCTCGGTATCGACCTGAGGCAAAAATTCCTGTAGCTCTGTGTACTCCATCGATTGACGGGCAGTAAGTCGCCTCGTGTCGGGAAATCCGGTTTGCGAGAAGCCACCCTGAGGGAAAGGGGAAAGAAGGGGAGGGAGGAGGATGGAAGGATAGGTGGAGAGGTAGGAGAGGTAGTGATGAGAGTAGGTATAGAATTGATGGGGAATAGAGGGATAGGTAGGAAGAGAGAATGATGGGGAATAGAGGGATAGGTAGGAAGAGAGAATACTGGGGAATATAGGGATAGGTAGGAAGAGAGAGAATCGTGGGAAGACTGGGATAGGTAGGAAGAGAGAGAATGGCGGAAAAGAGATGGATAGATTGACTGAAAGATAGATGTATAGATAAATGAATAGAGAGAATAACTGAAAGATAGATGGCTAGGTAGGAAGAGAGAGAATGAGTAAAGATAGAGTGACTGAGGGATGAATGTATAGATATATAGATAAATAGAGTATGGTGGAAGGATGGATAGATAGAGAGAGAAAGAGAGAGAAAGATGGAAAGATATAAGGAAAAATAGATTCATGGAGAGATAGATGTAGAGAATGATGGGAAAATAGATCGATAGATAGATAGATATATAGATATATATAGATATATGGAAGGAGAGGGAACGGAAAGAAAGATTGCCAGAAGGACACGGATAGATAGATATGGATATACATTGAAAGACAGATAGATAGAGTCACAGTACCTATATGTGTAAATCTATACATATGTACACACACACACATATGTATATTGACACACATATATATACACATATTTTTTTTCAATATCATCTCTTTTGCTAAAGCGTCTTCAAAAGAATGAATTGATTATTTGACTCCTGATGTCACCTGCAAATAACTGTTTTCGATCTGGGTTCAATTGAGTGCGTCGAGGGAGGGACTTTTCGTTATGCTTTTACGTTCGAGGCGAAAGATAATCGTTTCATTTTCTATCTTCTTTTGTTTGTCCTTGTTGTTATCGTTTGTCTCCTTTGTCTTCTTCTTATTATTATTTGTCTTCTTCTTCTTCTTTGTCTTTTTCTTCTTCTTCTTTGTCTTCTTCATCTCTGTGTTTGCTTCTTCCTTGTTTACTTCGCCTTCTTCTTTTTCGTCATTTCTCCTTCTTCCCTTAATCTCCATCTCCTTCTTCTATCTCCCCTTCTTTAAAACTGCTGCACATCATAAAAGACTTTACAAATAATAATCATTAATTCCTTTTGTCTTTGCGTGAAGAAAAACAACGACGACAACAACGAAATTCACAATAAGTTTTCAAAAATGCGTTTCGGGCCCACACTTTCTAATATACCATAACGTTTTTATGCACATGCACGATCGCGCATACACACAGACATATAGATTGTTTACGAATGTACGTGTGTGTATGTGTGTGTGTGTGTGTGTATGTGTGTGTGTGTGTGTGTGTGTGTGTGTGTGTGTGTGTGTTTGTTTGTGTATCAGAACGCATATATGTATGTTCATGAATGTAAGTGCATGTAAATTATTTTATCAATATAAACGTATCTTTAGCATTTTTGTTCTTTCTCTTTTCCTCCTCTTTCTCTGTCGTTCCACCCTTCCTTTCTTCACTCTCTCTCTCTCTCCTTCTCCCATCCCCTTCCTTTTCCTTCCTCTCCATCCATCCTCTTTCCGCCTCCTCCTCCTCCTCCTCCTCTCGCTCTCACGGTGCAGCTAACTCAGTGTACCCTATTAACACTTCTTTCCAATCAATATTCCTTGATACTTCCTTGGTAACCGGAATCAGTGTCAGTTACATACGATTAATTATGATTTAATAATGAGCCTTTGATTACGGTTGAGTATTCTTAATATATATAGAGAGAAAGCCGGTGAAGTTAATATGACAAAATCGACCGAAGGGAAATATTCGAATAGACTCTACATGCGATCGGAACC